ATTTACCTCTAAATTTTCACAGAATGTCTTCCATGATTAGTCTCTCATTCTCATACATCTAGTTGGCTATGTAGCCAAATTAATTAACGATTACATATCTAAGCAACTGTCTGTCAACTTTGACAAAAAGTGTTTTACCATACCCATGAAAATGGGTCATTCGAATTCTATGGACTTTTATAAGTCCCAACGGTATAAGTTATGCACTTGTGACACTTTGGTATTCTTTATTAAACTCTTTCAAATTTGACGTCATAGTTTTTATCAAACCATGTCAGTTCCCTTCCGCCCTACTCAATGAACAAATTTTTATCCCTTTGAATATAGTTAAGTTAGACTTTAGTTATTTATTTTTCATAAACTGCTGACTATAAACAAATAAAATGACAAAAAGCGCCCTAGTTATTCAGCTGACATTGTTATCCTCATTGTCTTCAATCTACCACTTATTGTACTTACGATAAGAACCTCTTATCTCGTGATGTTGACTCTATGCTATCCTAATTAACGACTACCATTCTTACTTTAAATATCTAGGATACTCCGTATCTTCCGAAAACCTATCGACTTTGCTGTTTCACAAAGAATTTTGGTCTTTTTTAATTATCTCCTTCAGCTCTTCCCGGTTGACCTTTCGTGTATGATTGTGATCAGAAAACCCATGTCCGAAATTTTTAATAGTCTAGCATTTAATCTACCTGCTTTCTGAGTAAATATTATTGATTGATCTTCAGTTTTTAGAAGACATATCGGTTGTGACTGCCAACAGGCATTCAGTTACATTGCTAAACTAAGCGTTTGTTGTTCACCATTTTGGTGATGTCTATCCCAGTGCAGTGTAGTCAACACTGAAATCTACGCTATTATTTTGTTCCAATTGACTTAAAACCCTATTTTTCCTATGATCTTTAACACAATCCCATATTAACTACCAATAATAAAAGTAACAAGTATTAGACTTGTACAAACCTCCACATATATTTATATCGACATATTTGCTATATAAAATGTCATATTACTGCTAACAACACTATTATTCTGAATATAGTGTTCCATTATTTTACGAACACAATACTTGAGCGGTACCTTGACATTTTCTCCTCGCACATCTTGTGTTTTTGGTATTGTAGTCTGTGCTTTTATCCAATTTGTCCATTCCAATAAGTAAACCTGAAGTTCGATGTCCACTTCTAAATGTCGCTTCGAGTCACTTGTCCTCTCTCTCTTCTACTATTTTCACAACCCATAAACTATCTGATTGCCCTGGTGATCAACGTTACATCGCTTGTGCATTGATACTCATTAGATCAATGATCAGGATTGTCTGTAGTTTTGGCTCAAAATGAGACGTTAAACACATTGCTATTTTCAACGAGAACTTCTTCGGCTACTTGCAGATTGAATGTGGTTCAAAAATTAGCAAACTTTATTTTCTCTGATGTATTATGGCAATGCATCATTTCCGATGATCAGTTTCAAAGGAGAAGGAGGGGGTATTTGAATCTTATGAATTTTTTTAGTCTTCTTTCCCACATTTTTGATAAATATCAAATTGAATGCGTATCATATGTAGTCTTCACTTTAAAGTTTCTATTCACCTGCCTTTTATTTTCTATGTATACAAATATTTATAGGTTCCTAGAGTAGGCAATGTCACAATGTCTAGTTTCATAAGCTGAGTGCCTCTGATCAATAAAGTGTGCAATGTAACCACAAAAATAACCAGGCCGAAATCATAATACAATTAATTCGAGTCATAGAGAAGTTATCTCGAGTGTAAGTAACTTTCATCTTGATTGTGTCGTATTCACTGAGCTGGATAGTTTAGTCGTGGAGCCTTCGTTATCATCTCAGACAACATTATCAGTATTAACTTTGATATGAAGTGTCAGTATCTTTCCGAGAGTTATTCCGTAGTCTCCAAATGAAGCAGAGTGTTACTGGTAATGTCGCTTGATTATTTTGCTGTTGATTTCATAGATTTCCCTGCTGATGGTTTCACCGCTTGACTTTTGACCCTATAGCTATTTGTTATTTTTCTTGCTAACTGATAGACTAGGTCCACGTGTATACAGCTAGTGACTACTAGCTGGCCTGAATGTTAAGCTTCCAGGAATTATGTTTGTGTTGACACTCATTAGTAAGATGTATAAGAAATGAATGAAAACTCTCACAAAAGCAATAGTTTACAAAAATATCACATATATGTGTCGGTAAAGTTCTCTAAGTAATTTATCGTAACTGTTTTACCGTCATTTATTTAGGAAACTGTTATCATTATAGCCATTCATATTAATAGTTTGCTCAAAGAAAGTTTTTGTTCGATAATAATCAAGCATTTTCATCTTAAATAATTCATGTGAAGCTGTAGAATAATCCATGTTCCATCGAAAACAACATGCCGTGAACACTAGCTCTAGCTAAGGTACAACGGAAAGAGGAATTCTTTACCCTATTTTAAACTGGCAATAAGCAGGTTGAAATTGCTCTTCGAGGGATGGAAATTTAAAGTGTCAATCAAGATAACTTTTAACCAAACTATTTAATAAAATACAACGTCGTTCATTCTTCAGAATAAAATATAGCTCATGTGGTCACTGATATTCAGCAGGTTATTTTGCTTTATTCTGATTATTTGTGCATATAGATTCTTATACATAATAAGGTAGTAGTAATTGAAATGCCATTGCAATTATATGAACAATTCCATACGGTGTAAATAAATAGAAAATTTTAGAAAAACAGTCATGGGATCAATGCTTTTTTCTAACCTTTGAATTTACTTCTGGTAGTAAAAGTGCAACCATAAAAAAGTTATATAATATTCAAAGTTTTCTATGGTATATTCACTAGTAAAAATTTTGGGCAAATCTAGGTTAAACTCCTCTATTTTCATCTTATTTTTATCTGGTTATTTCAGCTTTTGGATGCTTAGCTATGTGGTTCGAACTTGCCTTGTTTAACACTGGTCACCACAAGTAGTGTTTGCTCCAGAGAAATCTCATCTCAGTCCAAAATATTCTTCTGCTTCCTATAATCTCCCAACTGTTTTTTTTCAGCTGATTTTATTTAGCTTATAAAAGGTATTGTAATAGAGATTGTTATCAGTGAATAAAGTCTTACTACAGTGCATCCACCGAAAGATAGGCAACGCTGTAACTGATATTGTCGCACGAATTCAGTCACTTGTAAGTGATATCTTCGTAACAGAATGTTAGTGATTTCACTGTATCTTCTACTTTGAATAGGAAATGTAGATTACAACAATTAACAGTTTCTAGTATTTTCAGTAGAACAACATGAGACAGCGTTAGACTTATTGATTGGTTACTGGAGGGAAATCAACTTCATTCAGTATAGTCTTAAGCGCTGACTGAACTCTATTGATCATTCTGCAATGTGGATAGGGGGCTCTTCGTCACGATGTACTGAGACAGGTGTTAATTGGATGGAAACAATCGACAGAAAACCTTGAATCCAGGTTTTTGGCACTCATCATTAGCGCATGTCTGCAGGAAATCTTGACCCGAATAAGTTAGTGGTAACGTCTGTAACTGCAACACTGGGTTACACGGGTTGAAATTGCAGACGGGACATCAGTTCCGTTGAGGTTAGAGGTGCAGCCTGTTGACAAGTGCCATAAAAACGAAAACCTAGGTTCAGGGCTATTTACCGATTACCTACATCAAACTTAAATAGAGTTAGACAGCTGAGGTCACTGAAACGTGCACAGGAAACCAATTCTTCTGCTAACTGGAATTCAGTTGCATTCCAGTCACTTGATGTTTTAACCACTTGTCTGTCAACAAGCAATACTTGAATGTTCAGCCGTCGCTAGAAAACTTGTTCAAGCTTCTGCCCTAATCAAGAGGCAAGAGTGTAGAGTGAGAAAAAAACGACAGCTCATAATACTTTTAACTTGAGTCCAGTCATAGTCAAGATTTTTTCATGGCTTCAATCAGAAACTTCATACGTATGGTAGTTAGTTTATTAACTTGTAACTTTGTACTTTGGATTTATGGATGCATCGGCTACTCATATGATGAATCTCACCTACAAAGGCCCTCTATAGTCTACCCGATTGTTTATGTATAGGAAGCTAGTTGAAATTCAGAGATCATCTTCAATGGGCATATTATTAAACCTGATGAACAGAAGGCCGTATGGAACTGATATTTATCATATCAGTTAGGAGAATTATGCCAATAATTTGATTGAACAATCTGACTGACTGATCACGCAATAAATTACAGAGTAGTCAAATTAACACAAAAGAATAACTCTTCTAGTGAACCTAAAATGACACTTCAGATCAATTAGCATACAAATGTCAAAAACATGTCAAATAAAAACCTACCCCATAAATAGATTACATAAAATAAATTTTATTTGAATGTGCATATCAGCCGTAAGTTGAATGACAGTGATTGTTCAGGCAACCAGAAGGAGATGTTGATCGACTTTCAATAAAATATCAAAACTATATGATTTTATTAACTACTGATGAGTTAATCACAAAGAAGTACAAATCAAACACCCTCATATTCACACGGAATCAAATTAGAACAAAACTTTTAAGGTTCACTATTTCAACTATTCATTAATAACTACCGAAACTTCATTTCTATTTATTGAAGTACTGAGACCAATATCTACTCTGGGGTGATCTGATCTACTTTACACGAGAATATATAAAAAAAGTGGTATGAGAAGAGATATTCATTCAACAGACTGATGATTTAAAATACAATAGAAATCTAGGTCATATTAAGATTTAAAGCAGTAGCTAACAGTTCAGTGATCTAGTGCTCTATCAGTCGATCTAGGAAACTCAAGTGCTAATCAGGTCTCCACTTCACTACCACTACCAGGAACATTTCAGATTTTTCGCAAAGTGTCCTCGTTTGCAGGTTTATTCGCTTAAAAAGTGACCGTTTCATCCTCAAAATGATAATACATACGGCAAATTAATGATAACATCCTATGTTAGTTTTACTTACACTTGCTCTGATTTCAACACCAAACATTTTGACGATATGTTCAACTTCACGAAAAGTAGATAAATAAATTTTAGCTGTCATTCCACAAGTTACAAATTATTTCGTATTTTACATGTCTAAGCATGTATATTTATATGATATCGGCAAGACTAGCAAAGTTTGTTTCACCTTTATCTCTGTCTCGCTGTTGCACATATATACGCACATAAAGTACTGCGGTTACAACTTACTGATTTTAAAACGAACTACTCATATTGTTCTCTTGAATAAAGACGGAGGACCAAATAATGTCCATGAATATTAACATCAAGCTACTAGATAGGTGGTTTTACTAATTAGGCTACAGGTTCCGTAGACCAAGTTCATGAAATCGGTTAAAGATTTTCAATCACTGAAGACATCTGATATGTTGGCATGTAAGCTTTATGCAGTATGACTGTTATTAGCGATCATTATTCCGTTCAGATAGTAAGTAAAGTCGATAATTTTGAGCACAATCTTAATTAACCTCTTCATTTTATATCTTTAACCCAGCGTATCATATTAGGCTTCAATGACAACATGCTGGATACCCGCAGTATCTGTAATACTTCCTCCACATGGACACCAGGTCAAAATTGATAATACGCACGATAAACTGCTTCAGTGTTGAACGTGTCACGATAACGCCCCCAATTTAACTAGAAGAAGGAGAGATTCGATTGTGACACTGAGACCAGATAAATATATGAGAGGACAAACAAGATGACGAGTAGAGTACTTGAGATTTGGATAATGTGTTTTTCACGCCCTGAAGTAAGAATGATCTTTATTTTATGCAGATTCCTTAACCTCTGATATTCACGTTGTGGTAATTAAGTTCTACAAACAGTTAGTGAGATTATCAGCCGGTTTCATGCTCCAGTGTGAAGTTGTTTTCCTCACTCAGTAACGTGTCATGTATCTAAGATAATCATAGCTACGTTTATAGAGCACACTTACCAATTATTAAAGTCGACATGCATTTACAAAATCTTTGACTGGACAACAACTTTGATATAGAAATCGTAGCGAAATCAAAAAATGCCTTGGAGGTTTCCAATATTCAACGTCTTTTTAATTATCTACCTAAAAGATCACATTCCACTGTCTTTGATATACTTAGATGAGAAGTTTCTCCATAGAAACTAGAAGAATGAAGTCGAAAGTAAGTTACTGAACCATCTGTTCGACAGACAAATTATTTCACAAGACTGGAAACAAAAGTCAGGCCATCACTCATCTGAGAACTTAAAGTTTTGCCACATAGTGGAGGTTTTGCTGTTGTGCTATTAGATAAACATTTTCCCTGATTAACCTCCCACTGGCAAGTCAAGTTTAGGCAAGATAGAGAAAATACGTAGCTGTGACGCATGTCAACCATAACGTAAGCACTTGTGAACGAGGGATTTTTTAAGATAAGGTGTCCTGTGAACTTAACACACCAGCCTCCGAATGAACTACTATCTTGTAAACTTTGTAGTGAATATGCTTGTCTATTTCTAGAATAAAACATAAAAAGTAATATCGGTGAATACACATAGCGCGATCATTTCCTATGTTTGCTTCAGTTAGGCGACCAGATAAGTATTGAACGTATCATGGCATTTTCGATGGAGCACCTCTGTCAACATGTTCATTAGCATATAGCAAGCCGAGCTAAATGCAAATAAATCTAATCTTACTGATCATAAGCAGCTGCTGCAGATAAACATTCAAAGTTCATTCTCCATAGAAATTTGAGGTGAAAAAAATAACCTAATTTCCTGTTACACAAACACTACCATTTCTCAATAAACCACACTTTTGTAACTGAAAAAGCATCTGTTTTCAACTGAATTTTCTTGTTCTCACCTTTTCAGATCCATAGAGTCATCTGATTACCTAGCTAACTCATTTTATTTCGGAAGTTTGTGGGGATTTATTTATTGATTTCAGGTTGGTACTTATCATGGACTGACATCAGTTAGGGAAACGTGGGAAAACCGGGAGCACTGGTCATCTGTCTTGTCTCACAGTAGGGGACTTATCAGGAGTGCACACGCATGACTACCAGCTTCTGATGCGAAAACGTATCCGGTGGCACCAATGAAGTCGGATATGAGGACTGTAATTTGACAACAGTATTGGATGAAAATAGCGCTGTGTCGTGAACTAACAGAAGTAGGAAATATAGATCACTGAACTCCAACTCAGTGACTCAGTGGTAACAAACTGGTCGCTCGACCCAAATGTCCTGGATTCGGACCCTGGTTGGGTGTGGACATGAACTGCTGAGGAGTCCAATATTAGGACAAAAAGGTTGTCCAAACAGTTGCCAAACTCCTATTCAGCCTAATGTACATTGTAAAAGCACAATACCTATAAAGTGGAAACTATGAAATAGGTAAGTGGAATACTTGCACACAATAGTAGTACGTCAGTTTAAATTGCAATATTTCATCCGAGATAGGAGACAATAATAATTACAGCATTATCTTCTGGATTATGATTCGAGCAAAGTAAATTTTCAGACTTTTTTCAATAGTGTATTTTCTGCTTTTGGTTGTAAGAGAATACACAAATATCTGGATGGTGTGATGACCCGTTTCTGTTGCCTTTGAGATGTTGGTTTTATGAGCAGCGTCAAGCAAAATGACCTGAGTCTAAAGGTGCCTTCAAGAGATTATGAGGTCATCACTGATCTATAAACTTCTAGTTGAAGCAGACTATAAGCTATGAGTTCATAAAATCCGTCTCATTTAGAAAACGAAAACCCCTAGCAGGTAGATTAACTTTGAAACTTCTTATACATATAACTGATATTCTACAAAAGAAATTATTCAATACAGTATTTGATGCTTCATTGAAATGTAAAAGTATCAGACAAAGGAGGTTGCCTTATGATTGTACAAACGATTTCAAACGAATAAAATTCATTAAAATATATACTGATTTCAGTTCATGATGAATATCAGCCTATAATCAATATCATCCATCAGTCATAATTCAAGGTAGAAAAAGGGAATGAAATTTGAATTACGAGAAGAGAAAATCTTTGAAATAACTGCAAAATGCAACTGATTAATCATTTTCAACACAAACATGATTCGGTGACTAAAAATATTAAATCTTATTTTATTTTGTTAATGATAGGTAATTCCTAATGGATTTATAGTCGGTTATCAGAAAATTGTAGATGTTAATGATATCAACGAAGAAGCATTTATTTATTTTACTTAAATACCTGAAACTTGAATTTCCATTCCATCTGTGAATACTTAATATTTAGTTATACTCAACATATTCTTTGCAGTAAACTGAAAGAAACAACCTGAGAAAATAATATCATTTTCTTTGGTCTAGGTTGGATCTGCGTATTTGAGAGCCTTGAAATTATATCCAGCCGTATTTACCATTTTTATGCACTTTAGATACAAATATAAATATCGTTAACAACTTTCTAGATATCTGTATGTACAATACCAAAATCAACCTTAAAAGATGTGAGAAATAGGACTAGGTGATATTCTTTTCACACTTATTTTCTTATAGTTAAACCTCACAGAATTATGCTACAGTGCTGTGAACATTTTGTCTGTTAATTTATTCAGTACTGCTTAGAATAAACATTTTTTAAAAATATACATGTGTACTTACTAAACTGATCAATTTGATGGCACCTGTTGATTTAACAAACTATCAAACACTCCTTTTTAAATACTTTTTCTACCAAAAACAAGTGGTTTATTTTAGAAGTAGTATTCATCATGGGCTGACATCAGTTGGAGGAGCATTGAAAATCTGGGAGCACTGGACAGCTGTTTTGTCCTAGTATGGGACTGCTGAAGAGTCCCATACTAGAACGAAACAGCTGTCCAGTGCTCCCAGGTTTTCAATGTTCTTCCAACTGATGTCAGTCCATGATGAATACTACTTCTAAATTAAAAATCCCCATTCATCTCAGAAATAGTTTATTTATCATAAGAAATTTTGTTTGAAATTGTATTGTCAATAACATTGTTGAGTTACTAAGTAGTTATCGATACAAATGTATACCTATCCTTCGAGGTTTCCATAAAGTAATATGGTAATATTTTTTGAGATCAATAATGATTTTATGTTTAAGGTAGCATTCATCATAGACTGATATCAGTTGAAAAACTATTGAAGACCTGAGAGTAATGAACAACCGTTCCATCCTAGTATGGGTACATACCTCTAAGGAATCCCATAATGAGACGAAACGGCTGTCCAGTACAGTTAGGTTTTTGATGGTTATCTGATTGATATCAGCCCGTGACGAGCATCAACTAAAAACACAGATTTGTACTGAATATTAGCGTTTAGGCCCCAAAAATAACTCTTCCTAACTTATCGTCTGTAATGAACACTGTGATGTATAAATGTTGTTAGATTTGGAGGAATATTGTGCGGTTTAGTACTGGCGTTCACCGTAATGAGGAATCGTGACTAAACAGCGATAGTAAAGCGTCACGAAATCTCATGTTAATTAAGATAATTTGTTTGGTTGACCAAAACCAGTAAGTTTTCAGAAAAAATCTTCACTTTACAAAGGTTTAAGTCAGTACCACTGAACACGGTATGAAACCGATCTCTCTTTCGTCATCAAGCGAAAAAACTAAAACACATTGTTTTTATCTTTAAGCAAGTTGTGATGTACTTCAAACACTGACCACCTGTTTGGGTCCTATTTGGGACTCATCAACTAGATATGCCTTAGTACTGTTCTTGCTGAGACTTGAAACCTGAACAAAAAAGCAGGTATATCCAGCTGAAAAGTTTCAAGTATGATGGGACGCAAGGTTAAGATCCTAGTACTAGTGGCTATTTTCATCATTAACATCAACAGTGATTATTCACCTTCAATATTATCCAACCTAAGCATCATACTATGTTCGATGGCACTGGTAATTTAGCAACTGGATTCGACAGTCTTTTAACCCATTCCCTCCTATTGCTTCCTATATTCCTCTGCCTTCTGGGTAGTAAATCCCTCAAAATATATCAATATGATCCTAGTGGACGGATTAATGAACTTTTGTCGAATGAAAATACGACTA